AAAAAAAAATCACATATGAGCTTTTACAACTTTCTGATTGTGTGTTGTGCTGGGAATTAAACTTAGTCTCACACACACTAAGGTAAATGCTCCAACACTGAGCTAAATCTGCAGATCTGCTTCCTAATTTTTTTTTTTTTTGTCTTTTTTGAAACAGGGTCTCCCTGTAGCTCCAGCTGGTCCAGACTGGCCTTTGTCTGCCTGTCTCCCCTTGGACACCCAATCACGCTTGCTTTATATGAGCTTTTACAACTTTCTGATTGTGTGTTGTGCTGGGAATTAAACTTAGTCTCACACACACTAAGGTAAATGCTCCAACACTGAGCTAAATCTGCAGATCTGCTTCCTAATTTTTTTTTTTTTTGTCTTTTTTGAAACAGGGTCTCCCTGTAGCTCCAGCTGGTCCAGACTGGCCTTTGTCTGCCTGTCTCCCATGCGACACCACATCCAGCTTGCTTTCTAATTTTCATGTTTAAAAAGTTAATGTGCCAGGCATGGTGGTGCATGCCTTTAATCCCAGCACTTGGGAGGCAGGGGAGGCAGATCCTCTGTGAGTTTGAGGACAGCCTGGTCTACAGAGCGAGTTCCAGGCAGCTGGAGCTACAGGGAGACCCTGTCTCAAAAAGATAAATAAATAAATAAATAAATAAATAAATAAATAAATAAATAAATAAAAGTAAATGTAAGCCAAATGTAGTAGTACACACCTGTAGTCGGTTATTTGGGAAGCTAAGGTGGGAGGACTGCCCAAGCTCCTGAGTTTGAGACAGGCTCAGGGAATACAGCAAGACTCATTTTCAAACAAAAACCATCTAATGTATCAGCTTCATTGAAAGTTAGAATTGGAGGAATTAAGAAGCACTTTTGCAAGTTGTTAATACAGACCACATTAATTAAATTTCACTTGTGGGACAAATGTTAATATTTGAGGTCCTTTTTGACTAGAGGTAAAGGACAAATTAATATAGATATGAGGAGCAGCAATGGCATGTGTCACACTGCAGGAATAGCCAGTCATGAGCACTGACTCTTTAAAGCTTTACCTTTCTATCTAATCCACTTACAAGTTAATCTTTGGGAACTACAACTGAGGGACTTTTGTCTCACCATAACCAAGCTTCAGTCCAGGGCCTGACTTTGCTCTGGGGACAGAGTGTAAGCTGTGTTAGCTAAGGTTATCTGTTATTGGGCATGTCTGCCAAGCAGAGGGCCTTGAAGACTATTTGTTCTTTGCAGCCTGGCAATCGGTACGATTATCGGCCACGCCCGGCACCACCCAGATCTCTGTGTCATCTGGGTTGATGCTCATGCTGACATCAATACACCTCTTACTAGTGTATCAGGAAATATTCACGGACAGCCACTTTCGTTTCTTGTCAGAGAACTACAGGACAAGGTAAGTAGGCCCAATGAGAAGGTAAATGGCTTGCAAAGTTATCCTGGGGTTTCAGGAACCTAGTTAAGATTTGGATGGGTGGGCTAACCTAGTTAAGATTTGGATGGGTGGGCTAACTGTGGCTTAGCACTCCGTTTATAAGGTTACTGAGAGCCAGCCAATTGGTTACATGCTAGGGATATAAAGATGACTAAGGTGTGCTCTCTGTTCTCAGTGAGGTTTGTAATCTCTTAGGAAAATAAGCTTGTAGTGTGGGTAATAACTGCAGTAAAGGACACTTCCACAGATGGGGACTTCTAGGTTTGAGGCTCTTGGGCCACTTTTGGATATTCTGGTTTAGAAGCTAAGTGGCACCATGATTACCTTTGGGAAATATTTTTCTGAGCTCTTCAGAAGATACGGGGATCTGTTATGCAGACTAGAATCTGTATAGCGCTCTACTCTGTGAGAAACCAAGCTAAGCCAGGGCAGATAATTCATTAAAGATTTAGGAAAGACAGTTTGCTAGGCAGAATTCATTTGGCTGTTGGCAACGTGAGATGCCAACTGACCTATGCTTTAAAAACCAAGCTGTAACCAGTTCGGTATGAGCAAAGGGGTGGAAAAAAGACTAATCAGCATATTCCCACCATTTAGGTAGTTAATGAGAAACTAAGACCATTTTAGAAGAACTTTTTTTTCATTCTTCTTGAGAAACCTGTACTTTTTTGCACTTGCCTTTCTGAAACTTGTCCATTTGACAGTTTTCTTTACCAGTTTGGTTATGTCTTGTGTTGCTTTAACCATAGACTGTGGACAGAAGAAAGTGATTGTTCACTCTTGGGAACACATGGTAATTAGCTAGGTAAGACCAAAATTTTTTATTAATTCTACTCATTCCTTTCTCCAAAGGTACCACAACTCCCAGGATTTTCTTGGATCAAACCCTGTATCTCTTCCCCAAATATTGTGTACATTGGCCTAAGAGATGTGGACCCTCCTGAACAGTAAGTTGATGTAGTTGGGTTAACCTTTGGGCCTGTCCGGGCCTATTTGTGTATAAAGGCAAGATTACCCCAAATATACATTTGTTAAAACTGCTTTTTAAACTAAGAAATCTTTCCCTGTATCTCATCAGTTTTATTTTAAAGAACTATGACATTCAGTATTTTTCCATGAGAGACATTGATCGACTTGGTATCCAGAAGGTCATGGAACAGACATTTGATCTGCTGATTGGCAAGTAAGTAATGACCACAAATATCTACTTCTAGGTCCCAGGGGCAGACAGGGAAAACTCAAGAGCCACATGCTTAAGCTGTCTTCTTGAGCACAGTAACTTTACTTTATATTTTTTTAATTTTTATTTTATGTGTATGAGTATGTGTATGAGTATTGCCTGCATGTTGCAAGTGCACCTGTGTCATGCAATGCTGGGTGTTGAATCCTCTGGAACTGGAGTTAGGATGGTTTTTAGCCACCATGTGGGTGCTGGGAATCAAACCAGGATCGTCTGCAAGAGCAGCCAGTGTTCTTAACAGCTGAGCCAACTCTTCAGCCCTGTAACTTTACTTTTAAAATCAAAGTAAAACATGTACATGTAAAATTTTAAGTTCAGAAAGGCATAACACAAAACATTAATCATATTCTTTAAGTCACTGATCCAATCTGTTTCTTATGGACTTTGTTTTTTTTTCTATTTTATAAGCATCTTCTGAGATGAGAGGCCTTCTTTCATTATTCCAGTGATCCCATTCTTTCTAGCCTCATTACTGCTTCATCTGAGTTCTGTATTAAACACAACCACATGCTAGTTTAAACATCATTTGCTCTGGGTGATTAATGTCAGAACTGCCATCTGGTGGTATGTCATTCTGTAAGCTGTTAAGAAATTTAGTTATTTGGCATAAGGGTGCTATAGGTTAGTTTCAGTCACTGGATACCTGTAATCAAATCAGAACTGGAAGATGGTTAAGTTTGCAGACATAAAAATCAGAATTATGCTCAGCTGAAACAACTGTAACCTAGATGTATGGGGGTGCGGGGTTCCGCGGAGCGCCAGCCGCTGGGCATGGCGCCGGTCTCCCTCGCGCCGCTGGGTGCGACGTGGTCCAGGTCTCCTGCGTGCACCTGGGAGTGTGGCGGGTCCCACACCGCGTCTGTCGTTTGGGTCCCGGATCTCCGTGCTGCTGAGGCTTCTGCTACCGGGGCTGGCCTGGTCGGGTCCCATCCTAATTTCACCCGTGCACTTCCTCGAGATGCGAGATCCATCAGCTGCCGGATCTCACGGGAAAGTGCAGGACGGCGAAAGCTAGGGTTCCGTGAGTCGTGGCTTACGAAGAAACAGCTTTCTCCAGAGAGACTGGATAGTAGGCAATAAGACACGGGACTCAGCTTAGTCCGTGTTACAGCTCTTTATTCAGTGACTCAGCTTGGCTCCAAGTCTTAGTGATCCAGCTCCGATTAATTGGGGGAAACCAGGATATTTTATACTGTGGGGGTAGTGGTGAAAACCTTAGCTGATAGGTACATTGTGGGATTCCCTATTTACATGTGGAAGTGGGCTCCTGCCAGGCTGCCAGACTGCAAAGAAAAAGCTGGCAGTTCCTGAGCCGGAGGCCATGTTTCTGTGATGGCTGCTTCAAAAGATGAGTCAGGAAGATGCCGGGAAGGCACCCTGCTGAAAAAGGAATCTCTGCATATGAGGCCGAGCCCATGGGCTATCCGGACATGAAGAGACTGCTACTTTACACAACAGGGGTCCCCAACATAGATGAAGATAAATTAGAGCACCAGAGCCCAGCCTCAAGGAAGTTCCCTCTACTGTCAGTTACTAGTGTAAGAGGCACTGCTAATGTCCAGAGTAACCCAGAAATATGCATTGAAGTTTGAGATATGTAGAACAAATGGAAATATCACAAGTACTGTGTAGAAAGTTAGTATGTTATTCTTAATAATTTTCAGTAATAGAAAACCTAGAAATATGCTGAATTAACAAAGTACCAGGACCAGCAGGACACAATTTAGGAGTTGCAATCATGGAAAGAATGAGACTACAAGCATTACCAGATATATATTCTCTGTCCATTTCCCTTCCAGAAGACAAAAGCCAATCCACCTGAGTTTTGATATTGATGCATTTGACCCTAAACTGGCTCCAGCCACAGGAACCCCTGTTGTAGGGGGACTGACCTACAGAGAAGGCATGTATATTACTGAAGAAATACACAATACAGGTATGTAGCTGTCAGCTCTGCAAACTCCAAATGTAAATATGCTGAAACCTCTTGCCTGCAGGGGAGCTGTTCTAGTGTATCACTGCAGACTTTGTTTTTGGTTAAACTTTTATAGGCCAAAATCATATGGCCAGGTTAGTAGAAGATGTAGATACTCAGAGGTATGTTTGAGTTTGGATTGTACCAAAATATGCTAAGATAAGATTAAGTAGGAGATGATGTCTCCTCACACACTAACTTGTAAGTATAGACTGCCAAACTGATGCTGTGTCTATGCTATCTAAAGGCAGAGTGAGAGAAAGCCAACAGTAGCTAATTTTCACTCTAATATTAAGGGGTTATTGGTTCACTGGGAGTTGGAAATTTGGATTTAAGCTTATCATGTACTTTTTTTTTTTTTTTTGATAGGGTCTCATGTAGCCCAACTGGCTTGAGACTCACTATGTAGATGAAGAAAGCATGACTTTTTACTTCTTATCCTCCTGTCTTTACCTCCTAAGTGCCAGGACTACAGTCATGGTTCACAACCAGTTTTTAAGAAGATCTCTTGAACCGGGTGTGGTGACACACATCTTTAATCCCACCACTGAGGAGGCAGAGGCAGGTGGATCTCTGTGAGTTTGAGGCCAGCCTGGTCTACATAATGAGTTCTATGTCAGCTGGGGCTACAGGGAGACCCTGTCTCAAAAAGACCTTTAAAAAAAAAATCTCTTGAATAGAAAAAAATTTTGATGTAAGTACACAGGCATGCATGTGGAAGTCAACCTTGTGTGTGGTTCCTCAGGTGCTTCCTGGGTCTCTTACTGACCTGAACTCAAGGGTTAGGCTAACCTGGCTGGCTCATGGGCCCCAGGGATTCTGTTTCAGCCTCCTTAGCACTAGAGCTACAAGCATATGGCACCATACCTGGCTTCTATGCGTAGGTTCTAGGGATTAAACTCAGGTTCTCAAGCTTATACAATAAGCATGTTACTGAATGAGCTATCCCCTCAGTCCCCATAGACAGTATCTTTTTTCTTTTTTATAAATATTTTATTATTTTTATTTTATGTATATGAGTGTATTGCTTGCATGAAGATAAGTACACCCGTGTCGTACAATGCCTGTGGAGGACAGAAGAGGCCATCAGATCCCCTGGAACTAGAGTTACAGACAGTTGTTAGCTGCCATGTGGGTGCTGGGATTTGAACCTGGGTCTTCTGCAAGAACAACCAGTGTTCTTAACCACTGAACCATCTCTCTAGTCCCATCTTTTTTTTCTTTTCAATCTAAGATAAGCCTTATTAGGAACTTTAATATGGAGGAACTTGTTAAAACTTTCCATAGGAGGATACAGTTGGATGAACGGCTGATAGAGGATTAAAAAAATATTAGACTACAGCCGGGCATGGTGGTTGCACGCCTTTAATCCCAGCACTCGAGAGGCAGATGGATGTTTGTGAGTTCAAGGCCAGCCTGGTCTACATAATAAGTTCCAGGACAGCTGGGGCTACAGGGAGATCCTGTCTCAAAAAGACCAAAAAAAAGAATATTAGACTATCAAGCATGGTTATCAGGGAATTAATGCCCCAAACTCAGTTATTTGTTTAGTTTCCATTTCTATCAGAAAGTTTCTGGCTACTTAAATTGACCTTCCTTTTAAAATGTAAATAAATGGGGCTGGAGAGATGGCTCAGTGGTTAAGAGCACTAGATACTCTTGAAGAGGACCCAGGTTCAATTCCCAGCACTTACATGGCAGCTAACAACTGTCCGGAACTCCAGTTCCGGGGGAATCCAACACCTTCTTCTGACCTCCTTGGGTACTGGGTAATAAGGGTGCACTTATCTACATGCAGGCAATACACTCATGCACATAAAACAAAATTAAAAAAATAATGTAAATAAATGCCACACGATACTGCTTCAGTAATCGTGCCATGAAATTGGGGGGCAGACAGAAGCACAGAGACCCCAGATTCAAAGGCCAAGAGCCATAAGCAACCCTTTTTGTTTTTGTTTCATTTTAAGACAGGGTCTTACTATGTAGTCTTGTCTGGCCTCAAATTCACAAAGATCTACTTGCCTCTGCCTCCAAGTGCTGGGATTAAAGGCATGTGTCACCACACCTGGCAAGGAACCTCTTAAAAAAAAAAAAAAATTTTTTTTTAAATTTACTTAAAAGACAGGCAGATCTCTGTAAGATCAAGGCCAACTTGGTCTACATAGCAAGTTCCAGGCCAACTGGGGTTACAAGGAAACCTTGCCTCAAAAAAAAAAAAAAAACAAAAACAAATTATAGTATGTGAGTGTGTGTATGTGTGTCTGTGTTTTATATGCATACCTGGGTACAAACATGGATGTTAGGACAATTTATGGGAGTCTACTTTTTCCACAATGTATGTCCTAAGGACTCAACTCAGGTGGTCAGGCTTGGCAGCAAAAGCCATTTCACTAGTGTTATAAGAAACCTTTGACTAGCTGGGATGCAAATGGGTATTGAGTCCTACAGCCTGCTAGAGCCTTAGGTAAGAATTGCCTGTCAGATCTGACAACAGGAAGACAGCTTTGTTCTCAGACTCATAATCATAAATATTGTCAGTAGTCTTTGAGATAAAACAAAGAACCCTTCACTTTGCTTCACTCAGAAGGGGTTAATAACATTAGCAAGTAGCTGTGATGGTGTATACTGTGTCTCCCCGTCTACTGCTGTAGTATTGTTTTATTAAAGACTGATATGACACAGTCCACAAGGCAATTTGCTTAAATTAACTTGCTAACTTTCAAAAAGACAGTAGCCTGGAAACATAGGTAATATGGTTTGTTTGTTTGTTTATTTATTTATTTATTTATTTATTTATTTTTGGTCTTTTTGAGACAGGGTCTCCCTGTAGCCCCAGCTATCCTGGAACTCACTATATAGACTAGACTGGCCTTGAACTCACAAGAGATCTGCCTGCCTCTGCCTCCTGAGTGCTGGGATTTAAGGTGTGCACCACCACGCCCAGCGATAGTATGTATTTTTGATAGTGCAAACCCTCCCTTTTTTTTGGTGGCCCCAGCTGTCCTGGAACTTGCTCTGTATACCAGGCTGGCCTCAATCTCACAGAGATCTGCCTGCCTCTGCTTCCCAAGTGCTGGGATTAAAGGTGTGTACCACCTGCAAACCCTCTTGGTTACTACTCTGGGGACATGCTAAAGGTGTTGAGTTTAACCAATGAGTATGAGTCACAAATCACTAGGGACATAGGTCAAAGTGGAGGAAATGATGACAATGCAATGGTAACATTATAGTTTTGTACAATACACTCAATTATGTATTACTAAGAATGTAAGAAACATTGAACAGATTTGATGGCACTGAGCAAGCATATCATGTACCATGATGTAGTATCCATAAACCATTAGGTATATTCTAGACTTTATAGCCACCCTAATATTCTTAAATACTTTGTTCTTGAATTCTAGTTTGTTCAGATCCCTCTTTAAGAGGCAGAGTAACTAAATAGTAAATTAAAAAAAATCTCAAGGGAAGTAGGCCAGGTAAGGGGGATAGATGTGGAGGGCATATCTGTATAGGTTCTTCCCTTCCCCTCAGCCCATTCCAGGACAAAGAAACAGTGCTGAGAACTCGGACACAAGTTCTTGAACCTTCACAGAAGGCAATGAGAAATCAAATTGAATCAATGAACAAATAGTTGACCTTCCTTTGACCAAGTGCCAAGATGCTGGGGGCCGAAAAAAAAAATGTGTTGTACATGGAACCTGTTCTTAGAACTTGGTCATGAAAGTCTGGGCCATTCAGGAAGCTAAGGCAGGAGGATTGGGAGTTTGAGGTCAGCCTGGGACACACAGCAGGACCCTGTCTCGTAACAAAAATAAAGTTTGCAGTAATAACTATACATCAGAGCATGTGGGATGGTACCTTAAGAGATACAGATAGTGGGACTAGGGAGATGGCTAAGTGTTTGGAAAAGTGCTTGCTGTACAAACTTTAAGACCTGAGTTTGGATCCCCAGAAGCCACATAAAGCCAGATGACCTAGTATAAGCCTACAATCCCAGTCACTTCTGTGGCTGACGTGGGAGATGAAGATATAAGAATCCCTAGAAGCTTGGGGCCAACTAGCATGATGTATGCGGCAACTAACAAGAGACCTTGTCTCAAACTGAAAGGAGTGAGGACCCGACACCCCAGGTTGTCCTTTCATCTCCACATGTGCACTATGGCACATGCATGTACATATACTTCCCATGCACAAAAGGATAAAAAAAATGTACTGGTAGGGCTTGAGATGAAGCTCAGTGGTAACACGTGTGCTCAGTGTGCATAATTTGGGTTTAATACTTAACTTTGGGGGAAAACCCAAAACAACAACAAAAATCCCAAATAGATAGTGCCAAAGAGGCCAACAGTTTGGCTTACTGCATTAGCTGAATAGGGATAGATTTCATTATCTTAAAGGCTTCTTTCAGCCCTAAACTCATGGACAAGAGGATGGGGGGCAAAGGGCTTTCTGACAGTAGGTAACTTTATAGTGGAAAATGACTTATGTGGAACAACCGGGAACTTTCTAAAGTCTTCTCCTACCTTCTTGTTCTAGGGTTGCTGTCAGCACTGGATCTTGTTGAAGTCAATCCTCATTTGGCCACTTCAGAGGCAGAAGCGAAGGCTACAGCTAGCCTGGCAGTGGACGTGATTGCTTCAAGTTTTGGTCAGACAAGAGAAGGAGGACACATTGTCTACGACCAACTTCCTACTCCCAGTTCACCAGATGAATCAGACAGTGAAGAACGTGTAAGAATTTAGGAAATACTGTACACTGGCACCTTTTACAGTGGGCACTCCAGAGTTGCAAGGCATTTAAAGGGACAGATATTAAATGGTTGTCTGGGTCAATATTGCCTTAATGAGAACATCTGTGTACTCTCACAGTTGTAAAAATTTCCTTTCCCCATTTTGTTAACCAATACTACTACTGTAAATGTATTTGGATTTTTGCAGTTTACAAGGCATTAATATGTTATAATACTATGTAAATTTGAAGAAGTCATAAACAGCATTTATTACCTTGGTATATCATACTGGTCTTGCTGTTCCTTCACATTTGTGTGGTTTTCCATTGCCCTCCCTTCCACAGTCTGGCTATACAATACATTCTTGAACTGTAAGCCTACAGCAGCAGTTTTATATCCTAACACCACTCATTCTCAGAGCCAAGATTCTGGTCCACAATCCCTTCTCGACAAGAAGTTCAATGGCTTCGAAAGAATTTGTAATACACCAGACCGACCAGGATGGCCAGCTCCAGTAAGATGACGATGGAAAGCAGCAGCTTGTTGGTTATCACTCTACAAAGAAAGCAGAATAGACAGCAGTGAGTCTGGATGACCTTATTTCTTGCTGTTCCTAACACTGGACACAAACTGAGCTTTTGTTTGTTACCACAGCCACTTAGCAGTTAAGTACTCAAAGTTCTTTGGCCAGTGACAATTTGCAATGTTCTTCAGCTATAAATCAGGGATAGCACTGAGTAGCCACAGGAACGTGGGAAACCAGGACAATATCAAAGCATAAAAATGGTTTCTTGATTCTAACTTCCTCAACTTGTTATTTCTGTTGTTTAAAACATCATTAGCTCACCATGCAGAGCCACATCAGTTACACATAGAGCTATAAGTACAGGTTGGAAGGTTTAGGTAGACCCTTTGTATCAAAGTTACTCATGGCTGGGTCCTGCTTTTAGGACAAGTAACTAGAAGCCTTGGGTATGGTTTTTCAATCTTGTAAACGTCTTCCCTTCTTACTCTTCCCCATTTCTCCCTCTGCTCTGCTACCCAGCTAACCCTGATTCAAAAAAATTTACCACTTTTTTTATACAAAGAATGTAATTTTGGATTATCTGGTTTCTCCTTATTTCACAAGGAATTTTCTACTGTTTAGGTAAGCTACTCCAACTGCTAGTTCCACAAATGGATTGTTGTAGTTCATGTTCAGTCACATATAGGACACACCATTCCCAGTTTCAACCCCAGTAGCAATACAACCTGGATTTGCTGTTAGTACTTAAGGTTTTATTTGTTTTATTTATTTATATATGTATGTAGGTAGGTATGTTTTTTGAGACACGGTCTTCTTACTCTACAGCCTAGGTGGGCCTTGAACTCAGAGATCCACATGCCTCTGCATCACCATGCCTGGCCAAGGTTTTTTTTTTGTTGTTGTTGTTGTCTTTTTGAGACAGGGTTTCTCTGTAGCCCCAGCTGGCCTGGAACTCACTATGTAGTCCAGGCTGGCCTTGAACTCACCGAAATCTGCCTGCCTCTGCCTCCCCAGTGCTGGGATTAAAGGCGGATGCCACCACACCCAGCCAAACACTTGATTTGTAAGTTGATAATGCTTAGTGCTTGCTTTGGGCTATGCTTAACTTTTCATTCATGGGAGTCAGGGCCTTTTCTTGGGGTCCTGTCTTGTTAGCAAGTAGTCCTTTTTTTTTTTTCTGGTCTTTTTTGAGACAGGATCTCCCTGGTAGCCCCAGCTGACCTGGAACTCACTATGTAGACCAGGCTGGCCTTGAACTCACTATGTAGACCAGGCTGGCCTTGAACTCAGATCTGCCTGCCTCCACCTCCCAAGTGCTGGGATTAAAGGCCTGAGCCACCATGCCTGGCCCAGATCTTTTTCAAAAGAACTACTTGCTACTGGGCATGATGGTGCACACCTTAGTCCCAGCGCTTGAGAGGCGGATCTCTGAGATCAAGGCCAGACTGGTCTACATAATGAGTTCCAGGCCAGCTGGGGCTACAGGGAGACTCTGTCTCAAAAAGACCGAAAAAAAAAAAAAAAAAAAAAAAAAAAGGACGACTTGCTAACAAGACAGGGCTCCCAGAAAAGGCCCTAACTCCCATGAAAAGTTAAGCATGAAAAGTTAAGCATAGCCCAAAGCAAGCACTAAGCATTATCAATTTACAAATAAAGTGTTTACAGACCTTTTTCAAAGAGTATAAAAGTTCTATTCCATTTGTCTTCCCTAAGTACTGTAATTGCACCTGTGCATGTAGTGCCTGTGGAGAACAGCAGGCGTTTGATTCCCTGGAACTGCAGTTAGAGGTAGCTGTCAGCCACCATGTGGCTACTGGGAACTGAACTCCAGTCCTCTGCAAAAGCAGCCAGTGTTAGGCACTGAACCATCTCTCCAGCTTCCACCCCACCCCAAGAAATATAAACTGAAATTAAACACGGTTTCAGTAGACAGGGTTCCCACTACCTTAAGTAGGAACAATACATAATTATAACAAAGGATTTTATCCTGGAATATAAAACTGTATTTCTTCTTAGATGTTAAGTGTTGGGAGGACTATGCAATATCAAGCACTAAAGTGATTTTATTAGGACATTTTTTAAGTCACCGTTTTAAGCTTTCTTAGTTGAAAGACGTTTCAAGAAATAAAAATTTTGTGATTGTTTGAAACTTACTTTCTAGACATGGAGCGGAGAATCTTTCGACTTTTGCTCAAGTTTTCATTTGTGTTTACCAGCTGAGAAGAGAAAAGAACAATTATTTCCTTCTCATTTCAAAAGGATGTCCTATATATAATTGAACTTTCCTAAACTAACAGTAGGCATAAAAGGTCTATGCTAAAAAATGCAAAAAAAAATCATATGAATATAATAGCTTTAACTATAAGGAAAAGTACCTAGAAAGGACAAGATGTTTTAGTGCTGAGGAGGCCTGGAAATCATTATATCCCAATGTTTCTGTGGGGGGCAGGTGGCTAAAACTGAACTAATCCTTTACTTTAGCTACTCAAAATAGGAAGGCTTCACCTATATCTGGCCAGTGACTGTAATGTAAGCCTTGAATTTCATCAGCCAAATACTAGGAGAGTCTTGTGAGCTGTGTTTACTTTTGAGATCCTGGGGTTTTGTTTTTTTCCCCCTTATCTGTTTGAGGTAGTTATCCTGAATGGTGAAAGGAATTAGTCCTATTGAATCCTTCCCATTTGATTACCTGTTACTATCTAGTTAGCTGAAGGATAGTTCAATGATGTTCTCTGCTCTGTGTTTCCATTGCCCAGTGGCTTCAGTGAATTGATCCCTCAGCTCAATCTTTGGTGTTTAAATTCAGCCAATCTACGTAGTATATTCAAAACTCAAAACCCAGGCTATCTGTTAGCAAGTGGCATTCTCTAGGGCTTGCCTTGAAGTTAGCACTTTATTGTGAATTCACTGAAGAGGATCGCTAACTTTAAAGATGGGAGACTTGTAGCTAATATGTACAAGAAAATCTCCCCAAATCCTCACAATGAGCTAGTTAGTATTTTCCTATCTTCAGTTCAGATTTCCCTCTGGACAAATATTAAGAATTTAACATTCCGGCCAAGTGTGGTGGCGCACGCCTTTAATCCCAGCACTCAGGAGGCAGAGGCAGGCGGATCTCTGTCGACATAGTGAGTTCCAGGACAGCTGGGGCTACAGGGAGACCCTGTTTCAAAAAAGACCAAAAAAAAAAAAAAAAAGAATATAACATTCCACAGGTAAATGACTTATTTTTAATAAAACATTAATTTTAATTAATCCACTTACATAAAAGAAAATAAGTTACTTTTCAAAACCTCTTAAAGTCACAGTAGACTAGAGAACTAACATCGTTATTATTTGACCTATACAATGATCCAACTTACCTAGGCTAACAGAACTGAAGTATAATATCAGTCACACTTTTTAAATTTTTTCAATTTATGTTTATTCTGAGTGTTTTGCCTGTATGTATGTAAGTGCACCTGGGCATGCAATGCCTGGGGAGGTCAGAAGAGAGTGCTGGATCCCCTGGAATTATGGATGGTTGTTAGCCACCCTGTGAGTGCTGGGACCCAAACCTGGGTCCTCTGGAAGAACAGCCAGTGCTCTTAACTGCTATGCCATCACCACAGCCCAGTGATACTAATTTTTGACATGTGGAAAAAATAGCCTTTGTTCTAAATGACAAGGTCTTATAAATAGACAGTGTTTTCATAATGGAAAAAATCCCACTAGATATTAATAAAGCAAGAAATAGACTGGCATAAATCAGACCCTTCAGAAACAAAGTAAAACAAAAACTTCTAATGACATCTAAGTCTTAGGGACAAAATTACTTGTGTGTATGTGTGTACTGTATGTGCACATTTCACAGATGTAGGTACAGATGGAGAGGTCACTCCTCATGTGTCTTCCTGGATTGCTCTAAAACGGTCTCTCAATGGACCTGGCTAGGCTGGCTAGCCAAACAAGCTCCAGGGATCTATCTCCAACCCTTCTTCCCCAGCACTGGGGTTACAGATGGACAAGTTGCCACCTGCCCAGCTTTTACAGATCTGAACCCAGATCCTCCTGTTTGCATGGCAAGTACTTTGCTGATGGAATCTCCCTGGCTCTGCAAAATTACTTCTAGAGGAGGTTCTCTTAGCTAAGTAATTTAAAAATTAAGAAAAGTGTAACCTTAAAAAAAAAAAAGATTCCCTAAATTCAGAACTGCAACTGCTGTAGTTACTGGGTTTAGTATGGTTCCTGGGTGTGGAAAACCCACCTACTTTACCCAGTGCCCAGACTTACTCTGCTCTTGGTACGTTCCAACTGTTCTCGTTGCTCCCCCAGCTCTTCTATGATTTCTGAACCAATTTGGTCAGTTTCCGCGGCAATCCGATGAGAACGCTCAATGCTTTGGGTGGCCCGGTTCAGGCTTTCAGTGCCTTGTAGAAGCAATGTCCTTTGAGACTGTAGCCGGTTCTGATGGGAGTATGGAAGGAAGTGTTAGACATCTTCCATTATAAATTTATTGCCAATACATTCCTTATGACTCTGTTCTTGTGTAAAACGGATACAGTGTGCAATAATTTCCATTATAGTTGTCCCTTTGTATGTGCAAGGCACTGGCTAGTCTAGGACACACCTCTCTCCTATTCTGAAATCTAGGGATGCTGAAGTCCCACATTAAAATAGTGTAGTATTTGCACATTACTTATACACCTCCCATATACATTAAATCCTCTTTAGATTGCTTATAATACTTGATAAAGTGTAAATGCTATATAAATAGTTATTAATGGCTTAAGGGAATCATGAGAAGAAAAAGGTCAGTAGATATCCTATACAGATGAATTTTTTTCAAAGATTTTATTTGTGTGCATATGTATGTGTTCATACATGCTTGCATGCACAAAGGCACAAGTGTATGTCTCTGCACATGTGTCTGTGGGTGCCCAGAAGGGCCAAAAGGGAGTGTCAGCAGATTTCTTGGAACTGGAATTACAGGAGACTATGAGCTGCTTGATGTGGGGGTTAGGATCAGAACTCTAGTCCTCTGATAGGGCATTATGCATTTTTAACTGCTGAGCTATCTCTTCAGGCCCCAGGTGCAATTTTTGTTTGTTTGTCTTAGATAGGGACTCCTATGTAGCCCTGGATGGCCTGGAACTCTGGGTAGACCAGGCTGGCTTCAAACTCAGAGATCAACCTGCCCTCTGCCTCCAGAGTACTGGGATTAAAGCTGTAAGCCAGCATACATGATTCCCCAGAATATTATTTTTAGTATTTTGTTTTTTTATTTTTATGTGTATTGCCTGCATGTATGTTAAGTGCACCCATGTCATGCAATGCCTATAGAGGTCAGAAGAGGGCATTGGATTCCCTGGAATTGGAGTTAAGAATGGTTGTTAGCTGCCATATGGGTGCTGGGAACTGAACCCAGGTCCTCTCCAAGAACAGATAGTGCTCTTAACCACTGAGCCATCTGTCCAATCCCAATGGATGAAATATTTAAAAAAATTTTTTAAAATCCAAGGTTAGTTGAGTATTCAGATACAACCGACCAACTGTGCTTTCAAGATAGAATCAGAGATTCTAATGAACTGTAAGATCCTATTCAAGGTCATAGGCTAAAGTAGGACCTGAAATCCAGTCAAAAGGAACACAGTATCTGCCATTTGACTGCTTGTTATGTAAGTGAGGCAATGGAAGACTAAAAAATTGGAACATTTTCCCCATGGGCCAGTTGAAATTCATCATAGACATGTGCTTCATTTTACTGACAACTTCAGAGAGTGAGTACTCAGATTGGGAGGTGCAGGAATGACCCAATAATGCAAACAGCTTGCACCTCTAATATATTTATTTAATGTTTATTCATTTTTGTTTTGAGACAATCTCATTTTGTGTCACAGATTGGCCTCAAACTTATCATGACCTCCTGGCTCAATCTCCCAAGTACAGGAACTACAAGTGTGTGCCATCATGCCTGGCTAGCCTTTAATAGTACCTGTATTAGCTGCTGGGCTATCTTGCTATTAAAATAACAGAAAGCTTGGATTTATTTTTGTAACAATACTCTGATAAGTTACAAACCTAACTGATGCCAGGTGTGGTGGCACCTGCCTTTAATCCCAGCACTTGGGAGGCAGAGGCAGGTGGATCTTTGTGAGTTCAAGGCCAGCCTGGTCTACAAAGTGAGTTCCAGAATAGCTGGGGCTACAGGGAGACCCTGCCTCAAAAAGACAAAAAAAAAAAAAAAACAAACAAAAAAACCTAATTGACCAGCTACTTAGAAGGTTAAAATGGGAGGATTATTTAAGCCTAAAAGCAGACACAGATCTCAAAAACAGAACTAAAACTTAAACCTAATTTTGGAGGGCATGCCAGAAAAAGTGATTCTAAAATTTATATGAAAGAATGAAAGTTGAAGAAGAAAAGGAATTAGATCAACAGGTCAAAATATAGGGTGTAGATAAGAACAGATAACACTGCCAGGCATGGTAGCACACACCTTTAATCCAAGCACTTGGCAGGTGGATCTCTCCGAGACTGAGGCCAGCCTGGTTTACATAGCCAGGCCAGTTGGGGCTACAAGGAGACTCTGTCTCAATGCCCCATCCCCATAGGTAATAGTCACATATTGTTAAAAACAAATTATTATTCTATATCTATACACGCATATGAACACAAAGAAATCTAAGTAAGTATATGGTTTCGAAAGATTTGAACTAAAAAGAGCAGGTACTGGAGGGAAGAAGGGGAAGGAAATGCAGGAGAAGATAACCCCCCCCCCAAGACTCCAATATGCACTGATAACATCAAGTATATTCCATGATCTATCTAATTCTTATACCACAAACTCTTAAAGGAGGAGGAAGCTAACACTTACCATATGCTCATTCTCTAAGGCATATGTGCCATACTTCGGGTCTCCTCGGCCTGCAGCTGTGGCTGTCAAAGGTGTATTTCTCACCTCGCGGTGGAGTTTGGCAAGGTCCTTCCTGTAGTTTCGAAGCTTAGTCATCATAGGGTTACGGAAAGATAGGGGTGCATACCGTAGTTCTTCCTCCATCTCTGCCAGCTACGAAGACAGAAAGGAATGAGTAGATAGCCTGGTTCTCCCCCTCAGCTGGGGTATGCTTGTTTGAACTCATCAACCACAGGCTACCCTAAATAATACTCAGCCATGCATTCTATGAGGCCACAAATACCACATTCACTTCAAGTGCCATTCACTCAAAGTGTTATGTGGATAGAGTGACATCTCAGTCAGTAAAGTGCTTGCTTTACAAATATGAGGATCTGAGTTCAGTCCCTCAGAACATATGTAAATAAAGCTGGGCATGGTAGCATATGCTTGTCATCCCAGTGCTGAGGAGGTGGAGACAGGTGATCCCTGGGGCTCTCTGGCTAGCCAGTTTAGCTTACTTGGCAAGTTCCAGGCCAGTGAGAGACTGTGTATCTCAAAAAGAAAAAGAAAACCAAGGTGGAGAGAGCCTGAAAAATGATACCTAAGGTTGACCTCTGTCCTCTATATGCATGTGCACCCACATACACATGTGCACACCCCCCCACATGAACACACATAAACACAAGTATGTGATAAATGAATAAACTACTGGGTAGCTCAATGGTAAGTGCTTACCTACCAATACCAAGCACATGTAAGAAACTGGCACCTATACCTAATCCTGCAAATAAACACACACGCCACCATGAACAGTTGAGCTATATTTTCTGTGACAGTAAGTTTAGCAAAGGTCAGTAACTGATCTTTAAAAAGTATTTACTATTTTTATTTTATGTGCACAAGTGTATTGTCTGCATGTGTGTAAGTGCACTCATGTCATGCAATGCCTGCAGAGGTCAGAAGAGGGTGTTGGATTCCCTGGAACTGGAGTTACAGATGGTTGCTAGCCACCATGTGGGTGCTGGGAACCGAACCCAGGTCCTCTGCAAGAACAGCCAGTGCTCTTAACTGCTGAGCCATCTCTTCAGCCCCCAGTAACTAATGTTAATGGTCAGTTTCAGTAAAGGAATGGGAATGCCCTTACTGCTCATGTCAAAATTATCAAAGGCTTGTATTTCAGGAGTCTTCAAATTTTACCTATTTGTGTTGTTAAACCCCTGCAATACCCATTCCTACTAAGTTAACTTCACTTAAGTGTGATGGCTAATGTTATGAACTTGACAGAACCTGAATCACCTAGGAGACAAGCCTCAGGACACACCTGAGGGATTATCTAGGTTAGCCCCTGGGGAATTATCTTGATTGCATTACTTAAGGTAGAAAGACATGCCCACTCCTGGACTGCTAAGGGGAGAAAGGGAGTTGGGCAGCTCCATGCATTTGCTGCTCTGTGTTACTTCACAGACCAGTTGCTTCGAGGTCCCACTGCCTTAACTTCCTTGCCATGATGAACTGTACTCTCATTACCCATTCTTCCTCAAGTTGCTTTTGTCAGAGTATCTTATTACAGCAACAGAAGAGAAACTAAGACAGTAAGAAACAGTCAAGATCAGTAGACAGGAAAAGGTAATCTATGATCAAGTCATAGTATTCATAGTATGATTTCTAGAAAAGACCAAACCAAATAGAAGAAATAAGACCTTGCCCCTGTTCTCACCGTTTCATTTGCTTCCTGTTGTTTTTCATCAAAGTCTCTGACCAACTTCTTCTTCTCTTCTAGAAAAGAGAGGTAAATTTCAATCATTTCTGCTGCCACACATTTGTAGAACCATTCCTTCTGTTCAGGATAATCTCCCCATTCCTCTCCAGCAGTAATACTTAGCCATCCCTAAAAGGCTTTACAAATGTATTGGGACTTGCTGCCACAGTGCCCAAAGAGGAGGCTGTTACTACTGGCATTACTACTGAGGACAAGGTCCTGTATAACAATTATTTGGTCCCAAAGCCAATAGCATACCAAAAACAGGTTTGTTTTTTTTTCAATTTTTCAATTTTATTATTTTTTTTGTGTGTGTGTTTGAGTGTTTTGTCTGCATGTAGTTTTAAGTGCATCACATGCACGGAATGCCCAGAGAGGCCAGAAGAGGGTGCTGGATCCTCTGGAACCATAGTTACAGATGGTTGTTAGCAGCTACACAGGTGTTGGGAACCAAACCCTGGATCCTCTGGGAGAGCAGCCAATGCTCTTAACCACTGAGCCATCTCTCCAGCCCCCTTCTACAGGTTTAATAATCATTTTCACCATTTTCTCCTCCCCATCCTCACTAAGGAACAGGTACACTTTCATAGATAAACATGTTTACCAGTACTGGGTTCCCACAGTGAATCACTTCTATATTAATCCTAAACTACTCCTGTTTTGCAAAAAAAACCCTCAAAATTCACCACTTCTGCTCACTGGCATGGCACTTTTTTTCTCCCTTGTGGTAGCATGGATAATGACTTACATGGTAAGACTGTCATTTCCCTTTCAGTCCTTCCCATGTCATTTTAATTTCTGAATTTATTTATTAAGATAAGTTTTCACTATGTTACCGGGTTGGCTTCAAATATGCAATCCTTCTGGCTTAGCCTCCCAAGTGCTAGAACTAGAGGTGAGCACAACTACACCTGGCTGGTTTTGTCTTTCATAAAAATTACTGTCTTCCCTCTTAGCAATAATAGAACAAGCTTCAGCTTCAAAGCAATAATATCTAAGGAAACAAGTACTATTTTTGACTTCACTATGTTTCTTTTGATCATTTATAGTACGGAGACTTTCCACTTAAAACATACCAAGTTTCGTTTTTAAGTAACTATATTAAACAAGCGTAATTTACATGAGCAAACTGATAACTAACAGTGAAAAAGGCATGAGACATAGCAAAAATTAAGGTGCTTTGAATGTTGTCACCTGATAAACCATCATATACAGAGAGCCCTGGTTAGTCAGGGGGTTAGGTTCTGGTATCAGTGTTGGGCTTGCCTTAACATGAAAGCATGGGCAATTTTCTTCATCTGTTTAAGACCTGATCTCTTTCTTTGGTGATAAAATGAGGAAGTAGATCATTTGTCTTTTTTTTTTTTTTTTTTGAGACAGGGTTTGTAGTTCCAGCCAGCTGGCCTTGAACCTGCAGAGATGTGCCTGCCTCTGCCTCCCAAGTGCTGGGATTAAAGGTATGTGCCACCATGCCCAACTGACTCATTTTTTTAAAATAAAACTCTCCTTTAATAGGAGGAAAAGTTGTTACTGTATTTTCTTTCAAATGTCCTTACAAAACCCTGAAGTTTCACGTGTCTCCCTGCTGCCTGCCTGATTTTTAAAAAATGTATGCATTCACCTGGCATGGTGGCACAAGCCTTTAATTCCAGCACTCAGGAGGCAGAGGCAGGCAGATCTCTGTGAGTTCGAGGCTAGTCTAGTTTACCTAGTGAGTTACAGGATAGCTGGGGTACATGGAGACCCTGTCTCAAAAAAAGACCCCCCGACTCCCAAATAGTATGCATTCATACTGAATATTCTTTCTGGAAACCTCACATATAATCTATTTATTACCATAAAGTTACTATAGCAGGAGGCCTCCAAAGATGGCATGGACCCAGAGCCCTGGGATTCAGCGAGAATTCACTTCACTTCTTGGTCCACAAATAGCCTGCCAAAAGGAGCCTATGCCTCTGTACCCTGCTCGCGAGCCAAGTGACTGCGTGGCTGACTAAAGGGACTTGGGGGCGGAGAAAGGGAGATATAAGGTGTGCCTCCTGCTGTATTAAACGAGGCTGCAGCACCTTGCCTAGTGCTTGCTTCTACCCAACTCCCAGGGTCTGTGTTGTGACTCTGCACCTCTTGCCCCCCCAATCAGCAGGGGACCTGATCCAGGTTAGGGTCTTCACAGCTGGCTTGAGGAGAACCCGCAATACCTGGCACCTGAACAGGGACTCCTGCCCTCGGTTCGTTCGGTAAGTAGGCCCCTGGATTTGTCTGTTTCTTTGGCTGCTCGAGGGGAAGCGAGTAGGCCCCTCCTCTGTCCCCTCCACCCTGTCTGTCGTCTTTATTGTAGGACTAGTTTGTTAGATCAGGGAGGCACACACTGCCATGTGGTCCCGAAGCCCACAACGGCACCTCCCCCCCATCTCGGCTCGTCCCGGTGAGTTCACATAAGGGCTGATCTACCCCGAACTCAGAGCCCAGGCTTCAGGTCACGCTGTTGCGTGTCTCGGAGACACAGTGTGAGCATACGGCTGGAGGTGTCATGGCCTCCAGAAGTCCCTCACTGAGCACAAGACATTTGGATCCAATACACCTCGGTAGTCACACTAGTCTTGTACCTTTGTGGCGAATTCCGCTTCATAAGACCTTCCCACAATGGGAAATTTAAATCCACAATGTAGGGAACCACAAATGGCAGCACTCCAGGTGCTCCTTAAAACCAGAGGGTTGAAAGTGAAACCAAAAGATATCGAACACTTTTGTGATGAATCCATTAATTTCGCTCCGTGGGTCTCCCCTGAAAACATGTGGGACCCTGATACGTAGATGTGGGTCCTCTTCCTGGCCCAAAAAAGGGAGGTTGGGTCAGGGATCACTTGCATCATTTGTACTGATCCTCCTAGCCATCATTGCTAGCCTTAAATCCTCCTCTCCTGAGGAAGTCATCTTGGCCCACAACAAACACTGCTGGGAGCAATCTAGTGTAGATCTGGCTATTACCTTGACTCCTGACCTCCCAGACCAGGAGGTGGACGCAGCCTCTAAGCCCACTTCCAATAAGGAAGGAGCTCCTTTGCCTATATCTCAGGATACTCTCCTAGAGCTACCATGCCCAGAAATTCCCCCGCCCCATTACCTGTGGAAGTAGTTACCCCACCCTCAGTAACCATCCTGCCTCTTCCCCTGCTAACATGCCCCTCCCTCCTAGACCGCCCTCCTTAAAGCTTCACCTGCCTTTGCCTGCATTTCCGGTTAACATTGTTGTCGGCATTTCCGGTTAACAGTTAACGTTGGCCCCGATGCGGCGCAGCGTCCATGGCTGCCCACCCCACTCACTGACCTTGTTCTTATCCGCAAGGCAGCTGAGCAATCGGGCCCTGACTCCCCATATTTCAAACAGGTTCTTCGCCAGTGGTCCTTACATTTACAAATCCACTATGATTGGTATAGCTTACTAAAGGCAGTATTAGAACCCTCAGTTTTTCTAAACTGGCATGCAGTCTATGACGATCAGGCTGAAAACCAGGCACGCCTAAATCTCCAATATGGTCTCAACATTACGTTGGACATGCTCATGGGACATGGACAATATACTGACCCAATCTCCCAGTCTACTATTGGCCTCCATGCCTATTTTCAACAAGTTTCTGACTTGGCCTTTAAGGCCCTTAAATGTTGCTCCCCCTGTGATCCACAAGTCTTTTTCCACAATTTGATTCAACAGTCAGGAGAGTCCTTCACGGACTTCCTTACCTGTGTCACCGAGGCAGCAGAGCAGAGGGTGGAGTCTGGACCCACCTGAGAGGTGCTTATCAAACAATTAACTTGGGAGGGACTAAACATAACCTGTCCGCAATGAGACCCTAAGACGGGCCCTATTGAGGCTTTGACTGCCTCCCTGGAGACTCTTTTGTCTCAAGGAAAAACCGCCCACTTTGGCACACTGGAAGGCTGCTGGAACTGTGGGGGGCTTGGCCACTTTCGTAGCCACTGCCCAAGAGGTACAGCCCACCCCAAGACTCGCTGCCTCAAGTGCAAAAGAGGGTTCCATTGGGCTAAAGACTGTAGGTCACAGCCTCAACTGGACTTGGCTCCTTTAAATTCCACCTGGGGTGCCCCTCAGCCCCACCCACAAGAGGGGAAACGAGACAGATATTATGGACTCTCCCAATCCTCAACCACTCCCCACTAATGACCCTGTTATACTCTTGCCCTTATCGCTTCATTCCCCAGCCTACCCCACCCTCTATTCAACTAATTCTATGCTTGGCCTCCCCACTATGGACCAAGTTACTTCCTGGGAATCACTCAATGGCTCCTGGCCCCTAAATAACTCTCTGTGCTTCACTACCAACAACGCATCCTCATGCATTGGGCTGTTCAACCTGACTGTCCAAGATTATGCTGGCAGTGCCTCCTTGCGTTACATGCTTAAACTCCAGGGCCTTACCTTCAACAACACTGATGTAACCTCGGTCCTCGCTGCACTGGGGACAATAATAACAGGGGAGGTGGAGGGGACCGCCACCCCTCTACCATTTTGCCCTACTATTCTATGCCCACTGCTTCCCAACTGCCCACGCACATGCTCTGCTCCCTTGCACCCTTTTTCCTCACGCTCCCTATACCTTGGCAGAGATGCCACCCTAAGCTCAACCATGCCATCCCTCCCTTTTGCTGCTTCAGCCGCTCCCCTTCTAATCACCCCCTAGGATCTTGGAGACAACTGGCCCCCACCTATCCCTGCGGCATTAGGATCTTCCATACCAACCGCGAATCAATACTCGGTGACTGGGACCTCTGTGGTCCACACGCCTGCATGGACATGAGGCCGTTATTGGCACAGCAGGGCCTTCAGCTTTCCAACGGCACTTACACTAACACCAATCCCTCTACTTGCGCTGAAAACAAAATCTTTACATCCATTGATCACATGACATCCTGGCCCCCCCACCCCCATTTGCATGCGGCCCCCATTTGCCTTATTGCTAGCCAATGTTACCTCCAACCCTCGGGGCGAACTCAACTG